CAGCAGGAAAAACAAAGAGAATCACCGGCCAAGTCATTCTATTTGCCTTATGAAAAATTACTAGTTTGTCCCAAGTTCAAACTCCTCGTACGGTTTTAAAGAGACAAAAACATTTTCCCCCATATGAAATTCTGGGAAGTATTAAATTCTGTACAAATAAACCGTCTGCTTCAAAATAAACCGTCAAAAATATAAATTCTCTAAATACATTTTTTCCTGGAGCTGGGTAACAGTCAGTGCACAATCAAGCTGCTAAATGCCAGAATTCTGACATTCCTAACGGTCAGTCTGGCAAACGCTATCATACAAGCAAACACTATTCCGAGGAGAACGGAGGAGACTGAGGGCTCGCATGAGGAGCGGAGTAGCCCAGCTCCTCACAGGTGTAGGGAACAAGTGCGGCAGAGCGTCAGCCAGGAACGCATCTCCAAGAGAACCTACGCCTCCTCGGTGCCTACGTAAGCTGAGAGTCAGTATCTTCAGAGACCTGGTGACTCAAGACTGTGGCCTAGGAAAGTGCCCTGGGAACATCTGGTCCCAGAACACTGCATCCTGAGATGAGAGCAGACACAGCCTCCAGGTGCTGTGACTTCATAATGGAGTCTCAACATGAGTGAAATACTTCCAGATTTGCACCAGTAACAATTTTACTTACACATAGTTAGCTTTAAGCTAAACTGACAAAAACTAGCAAGAGCAGTGCAGTTACTTAAGGCTTTTGAGATAAAATCTATTATTTTCTAACAGTAACTCATTCGACATTCATCACGTGCTGAGCATGTGCCAGGCCTGGTGAAGGTGTCAGAATACACAAAGATAAAAACCAGGCTGCTACGCGGGGGGACCTGCAGTCCACTGGATGAATGTGTGCAAAATACAGAACCAAGAGATACGACTAAAATTAGTGCTCGTGCACCACTGCTATGAACAGCCAGGATGCAAAAGCTCTGAATTTCCTCCAAGATTCTTGGAGGTAGTTTGTCCAGACATTCTCTCTGTTAAATGAGGTGTGGATGAAACAGGATGGCATCCCAGACAGGAAGAGGGAGAACCCAAAGAAGGCAGTGTATTCGGAGAGCGGTGTAATAGCTGGTTTAACTAAACAGAAAAGAGGCTGCTCATTTCACATAACTTAAAAGTGCAAATCTGAATGCTTAACTCTGTTTCTGGAAGCACAGCTTTTATTAACACCTACAGAGAAGTATGAACAGCCTGATCCAGGGTGAGTGAGAGATAAACCTGGTATTTTATAAAATCAGAGGTTTATAATCAATAAATGCTTCAAAGAGTATTACGTGATATTAAATGTTTCCAGGATCAGATGAAACACTACAAAAGAAATAAACAGTAGCGGAAATATATTGCCAAAAACTTGCTTATTTTGTGAGATATTCGTTTGAGAAATCTGAATTCTAGGAAACTGAGAGGACCTCGAGAACGGGAACCAAGTCCTGGTTCATCTGTCTACAGTCGCTGGTTCATAGTAGGTGCTCAATTAATTTTTGCATAAGCAACCAATCAGTCAACCTTAAATAATGAAACTAGATTTAAGACAGCTCAAAACAAAAGCCAGTGCAGTATTTAAGAGAGGGCAAATCAGCTAATGGCTCTGAGATTAATAATACCTAGGACTACACAACAGGTTTTACAATATTTAACAGAACTCCTTTCTCAGCCAGGAACCGTCTCCTCCCTCCCTTACATCGTTAACACAATTCAATTAAGTCTAATAATATACTGAGAATCCAATGCTACAAATAGTATTGACTTGACACTAAGACAGACCTCATTACAATGGAAGAGGAGTTAAGGTGTGTAGCTAAAAGATAACTGCCTTTAAATAGCTCTTCCAATAATGTCCTATACCGGCAGTTAGCAAAACTACCGGCCATGGTAGCCATACCAATTGTCTTTGTCAATAAAGTTTTACTGGAACACAGCTGAGCCCATGCATCATGGACTGTCTACGGCTGCTCCCACACTGCAGGAGTTCTGACGGAGATCGAATATATTTACTGCGTGGTCTTTTACAGGAAGTTTGCTGACCCCGTCCTAATGATTCTCTGTAAATTTATATTTTCACTTCCTAGACTCTCTCCAGATACAAAAATAAATAAAAGCTATGCAACAGTCTTCATACAATTAGTACCATTAGGGAAAAGGTCGCTGACTTTAAAACTGAAGAGCAGGTAACACCTCTCCCCCCGCCCCCACTTCATCAGTCACATTCCCTGCAGCAGCTGTTTTCAAAAGAACAGACATGGGCTTCCCTGGTGGCGCAGTGGTTGAGAGTCCGCCTGCCGATGCAGGGGACACAGGTTCGTGCCCTGGTCCGGGAAGATCCCACATGCCGCGGAGCGGCTGGGCCTGTGAGCCATGGCCGCTGAGGCTGCGCGTCCGGAGCCTGTGCTCCGCAACGGAAGAGGCCACAACAGTGAGAGGCCCACGTACCGCAAAAAAAAAAAAAAAAAAGAACTGACAGACTTTACTTGCTAGGAAGACAGGTTTAGAGTGATTTTTCTTCCTTTACAAAATACAGTACCTCAGGTTTGTTTGGCTATTCAGCACGACAGTAGGAGAACGGGCAAAAAGGTAAAACAAGGCAGCAGAGAAGAAAGGAAGAACTGCCAAATCAAAACACCAAGAAAACAAATATCACAGTATCAAGACCTACAGAAGAAAATGTCCATTAGCATCATGACAAGGGAGGACAAGGCACTCTGGTAACTCAGGCATTACAGGCAGGGCTATTTCAGAAACAGGCACTAACTGAGCTCAAGTGCACACCTGTCAAAGTCTGTGCGTTATTTCCCATGCACTAACTCAGGTCTGAACCGTTTTTCCCCTAAGGATATACTAAAATAAATTTTAAAAACTAAAACTCAATTAAAACTTTTTAATGCAAAAAAAATTAAAAATAAAAATCAGAGATGTCCTCTTTAAGCTTTATTTGAAAATCTGGTTGCCTTATTAAATGCTCTTAAAAGTTGATATTCTAGTTAGTAAGTGCACTAATTTGGTGCTAATCATTAAAATACTTTCCCCCTCAATTGAGAGATTACAATCATTATTCTGTAGACAGAGAATCCAAGATCCACAATAAAATTAACTAACTAAAAAGGAAAATAACAGTAAGAAACTGACTATGTAGTAACACATATTCCTAAACTAGGTTTTGCTCCTCATAAAACCAAACACTTTAAATTGTATAACCATTACTTTGTATATTCTAAATGTTAACAGATGGTTTACTAGGTAAATTATTTATTAAATAAACTTACGCAAACATTATTATCAAATCTATCACTACAGCTTTCTATATGCCCAGCACCAAGCTAACTGTGTTATTACGTGTGCCTTCATCTTCTCATTTAAATATGTAATTAACCAAAGAGATGTTTAACAAATGTATTTAAAATAAAACTCTATTAAAATATTTACCAATTTTTGTAATCAAGAGAAATAGCAAACTCTCCAAAAAGAACATTATGAAAACAGTGAACATGAAAAAAATGCTCACAAGCAGTAAAACTGGAAAGCAAGGTTTTAAAAAATCCTACCTATTTTTGTCTTCTACTGATGTATCTTCTGAACTTTTGTTTTCTTCTTTAAAATACTGGCCTGAGCTAGATGGATTAGCAAAGGTAGATATGAAAGGTCCCAGAGACTGGAAAGCTGCTTGCCGAACCTAAGAAGAGCAGAAGGACAGGAATAAAACATACACCCTTCTTCAGCTAGGGTGTGCAGTTCCCCATCAATTATTTTCTCCTTTCTCCTTTTAAATTTTTTACCTTGGCTTGAATATTTAAACCATGGGAATGTGAATATGAGACCCTATAAAACATTTGCATGGAACAGAAATTTCATCCAGTTAAAAGAAAAAAAGTTAATATAGTAGTCTACTGTCTACTCCTAAAAGTATTAGCAATAACATACCTTAAATGATAACACACCTTACATTAGCAATAACATACCTTAAATGATAAATTATTCCTTAAATTATGAAATCAAAATCACGTCTTCTGTAAAATGCATTCTTTTACAAAAATGATAATTAAACAAAACCTTACCCAACGTGAAGGATCACTGATCAAATTAATAAATAGTGCCGATAATTTAGTCCGTCGAATTTCTTGACATGTTGCACAAGAAACCGCCATGAAGCACTCAGCACAGGCCTTGCGGACTCCCCACACGTTATCGGAACAAAGCTGGAAAAACCTGGGCAGCTGTGCGAGGAGGATGGTGTTTCGTTAGACAGACACACAGCAGACTTCAGGAGTTACTTTTATTTCATTTTCTGCTTTCACAGCATTTAAAACATTAGATCTTCTTAATGAAATTTAGAAGACCCATTTAATATTAATACTTAGCAGTTTTAAATAAATCACACCCAATTCATTCCACTACTGACTACGGAAAATCAAAAACGCTCCGAACACGTACAGCTTAAATGTTATCCAAGAGCTTGTACTTAAAGTTAATTATTCTGCATAACAGATGGTTTCAGAAACTCTTCAAGTACATTAACTTGTACATTAAGCATTTTTTATCCCAGGAACTAACCATTTAAAAATCACCTGCTGTAAATTTAATCTGTCATTAAAATACTTGAGGGTTGCAATAAAATTAAAGATTCATTTGAATAAATAAGAATTGATTTTATAGAAATGGGAGTTAAAAAGGGATCAATGGTTCTTAACATATCTGCATTTTTAACAAACCGTCCTTAACAAACACAATTCAAGTGCCCAGATTACAGAAATTTAAACTCTTAAAGTCATATTATCTTTCTGGTTTACATCCATGGAATTGTATTAGGTTGGCAAAAAAGGTCATTCAGGTTTTTCTGTAATAGTACAGAAAACCCGAACGAACTTATTGGCCAAGCCAATATTAATACACTTTGGGGGTAACTGTATGTATTTCAAACTTCACGTGCTACTTTGTAATGCACTGCTTTCTCCTTAGTTGTTGGGGTTTTTTTTTTGCCGCACTGCTCAGCATGCAGAACTTCCCTGACCAAGGATCAAACCCGCGCCCCCGGCGCTGGAAGCGTGGAGTCTTAACCACTGGACCACCGGGCAAGTCCAGTCTCCTTAGTTAATTTCTGCAATACTTACCAACATTTCCTCAGTAGCCTGCTGGCCAACGACGCTGCAAATATCTCCAAAATTGGCAGCACAGACCTGACAACAAAAGCATCACTGACATTTCAAAATATTACAGCGTTCTTTAAAAGTAATCTTTCAAATTTCACAGATCAATATGGTAACCACTAGAACCATGTATTCTTAAACAACAACAACAAAAATACCTTTCGAACATGAAACATTCTGCAATCACAGCACATCTCACAAAATCTAGGGAGGATAAGACGCTCTGTGATGTCCTTCCCAACCATGGGAGCCATTTTGCACATTATCTAAAATAAATAAGAACAAAACCACACTGAATATATCTTCAAACTAAGACTCTTCCAGTTTGCTAATTTATTAATAAGTATATAATTTAAGGGAGTATAAAATATGACATCATTATACTGCATACATCACAAAAAATTCATCTTATTTATCCAAGTTGAAGACAGAAAAACAGATGTTAACTACTACCATTAAAATCAACCGATAATTATTAAAGGTACAATAAACCCTGAGAAAATCCTAAAAATTGCATTTTTACCTAAAGTTTCCATCTTATTCATCATTTTGCCTAATAAATTTAAAATTAAAAAAAAAACCCTACATTTTCCCGATAAGAGAATAAATGGTGAGTTTTCAGGAGATTATCCACAAGAAGGATCCGGATTTAGTGTATCTGCATTGCTAAGAAAGGACTATACAGAAGCAGTCCTCATCTTGCAAAGTACCGTTTTCTCTGAAACTCACGCATGTGGGGACCACTTCCTTACTCTGCAAAGCCTGGGTTCCAAGGGAGACAAGGACACAGATCTGATATGTGTCACACATGATTCAGATAACACAGTTTTGGGCAAAGTAAAGATGAACCTTTTTTTTTTTTTTTTTTTTTTTTTTTTTTTTTTTGCGGTACGCGGGCCTCTCACTGTTGTGGCCTCTCCCATTGCGGAGCACAGGCTCCGGACGCGCAGGCTCAGCGGCCATGGCTCACGGGCCCAGCCGCTCCGAGGCATGTGGGATCCTCCCGGACCGTGGCAGGAACCCGTGTGCCCTGCATCGTCAGGCGGACGCTCAATCGCTGCGCCACCAGGGAAGCCCAAGATGAACCTTTTGAAAACCAGCCCAACGCATTTAAATATCTGCCTCCACGCAGTTAGAATATAAAGAAATCTGGCTGTTGTCATTTATCTATTACATCTACTCCTGGCCCATGCAAATATGACAAGAAGCAAAGGCATCTGGTTGGAAAGAAAAGAAATCTCTATCCATAAATGCATGACTGTCTACAGACCAAATCCCAAGGAAACTACAAAGAAGCCATTGGAACAAATAAGTGAGTTTAGGAAGTTTGCAGGACATATGACAGAATAAAAAAAACAAACGTACTTCTATAAATTAGCAACGAACAACTGAAAATGTTTAAAAACAGTGTCATTCACAACAGTGTTAAAAAAAACATGAAATCTAACAAAACACACACATGCTCTGTCTACTGAAAACAACCAAACATTGCTGAAATGAAGAAAAGACCTACATAAACGGAGATCTGCCCATGCATTGTTAGGCTGGCACCATCCCTATCAGAGCCCTGGCCTCCTCAGAGTGGCAGGTGACACTGACATCCCCCAATCCCCAAAGCAGTGTTGTTTCTTGACTCCAGACTGTTTCTAGGCATCTCCAAGCCTGAGTTAACGATCCAAAGATACACAGTATCACTGATCTAGCATAATTAAATTTCTTAGAATGAATTATTCCCAAAACAAACAACTGGGAAGGGAGGGAATGCCAAACATAACAAAGTTGACACAACCAATTGTGAGAGAATCACAGGTTTCACACTAGCGCTGGATATAGCCTTTTATTATAATGTTTTACTATTCTTAAAACCCGTCAAAAATTATAATAAAGCAAGTTAAACTCTGCTCAATATAAACCAACATTTATGCCAAAACTGATTTCCTTTTTATTGAGAAGCTTGTGAAATTTAAAAAAAAAAATCAAGTTTTGGAACTTGACAGAGGTAGTGCTTTGTACAACATTATGAATGTACTAAATGTTACTTAATTGTAAACTTTAAAATGGTTAATTTTACATTATGTGAATTTCACTTCAATAAAAATGGTATTACTGAAAAAATATCTAAATTTATTAACTGATACCTGAGTATCTAAAAATAAAATAATGGAATTTCCAATGGAAAGGAACTAGAGAGAAAATCTAATTAATCCTACGAATGATCCAGAAGCACTATAAAATTATTTTTAGTGTAACTTTTTTCATAGCAATAAAAATGCAATTATATTAGGTTTAAATAGCAAACTCTCACTGTCCAAATAGATTTGAATAAATTTTCAGATGGATTTATCACTTTTCTATTTTATTATAAGAATTCTTACTTTCTGAACTGAGGAACCATAGATGTGAATTATAACAGATATTACTATATGTAATTCATACCCTATTTATGATGGCTCTCAAATAATCAAAATATTTGCTAACCATGTCCAAAACACCAGAGAACTCACTATAATACTTGACTTTATTATGTGCATAATGACTTAATCTGTGTATTTTTCTAATAATCAGAATTTATATCATATATTCCTTCCTGCAAAGACCATACTGTCAAGTACGGTAGCCGAGCAGCATCCCTCTTTTTCCTACTGTGCTACACGGTGCCTAGAAAAGTGCTCGACAGCAATTCAAGGAGCTCAAATGTTTCTTCATTCAATACAGGGTTTTTAAAATCCCACTGGTTATTTTTGCCATCTTATTTTTCCATTTTGATAATGAATTTACAGTTAACTTACTATTTTCTTGCTGTGTATCTTGCTTTCTCAGAGCCCAGTGATAGAGCCATCGAATTCCCAAGTGCTTCTGCACAGCATGGGGCCCCCAGAAAAGACACCTTTTCCCTTGGAAGCCTATGTCCCTTTCTAGCCCAGCATTACATTTCAAATGTAATGATTTGTGGCTACTCTGAGACCCAGTATGTGTCAACCCTACAACATGTAATGCAGCATCATATTTAACAAGCGCCTCCTATCGGTCAAGCCAGTGACTAATTCTTGCTGAGCTCTGCTTACAGCCACAGCTTCTGTCTTCACGTCGTCATTGCTGTCGGGGGCGGTCAGCTCTACGAGGACGGGGCACACTTTGGTCTCCACATCAAACCGCTCAATTAACTCCTGCTCAAGCAGGGCCAGCAAGGCCGCCTGACTCGTTTTCCTGACCTAGGAAAAAACAGACATGTAAACCAAGTACACACACAGTGTAACAGAACTTAACACCTGAATTTCACAAATCTGAGGATTCCTCACCCAACTAGAGGGGGTTCACAACTGGCAAAACCTTGCCAATAAAAATCTGTGGTTATGCTGCAAAGACAGAACTTGGTAGGTTGTGCTGTAACAGATGAAGTGGAACAGAAAAGCCATTCTTGGAAAAGAGGTCTCCAAGCGCCAACCTTTTTGAGGGCCGCCTGGGAGGGCAGCGGGTGAGCAGCAGCTACTAGGCACTGTCTGTTGCTGTGACCTCCCAGACTCTCCACAGCCTCATTTTGAAAAACAGAACAACAAAGTCAAAGAGGAAGGAACATCCCAATGTGACCACCCAGTAGGCCTCCAGGAGTGCCCCAGACTACACCCATTTCTGTAAGAATGTGGGCAGGGCCCTCCTACCTGGTTATTCTGATCTGCGAGGTATCTAACCACAATGGGTAGCAAGTACTTGGAAAAAGCGTACGGGATCGCAGGCCGGTTTTCTTGACAAAACAAGGCGATGTGAGGCACCTGCTCCATCAGCTCTGCTCTCACAGTTGGTTCTATGGAAATAACAGGAAGGTGAGCTGAAGCATCCTCCCCAGAACCGGATCCTTTGCCGGGCAGGGGAGTCCTCAGGAAACCTCTGCACTCTTCACCTCGCATCACATCATGAGTGCTTAGAAAATGCTCTGCAGCCTGCGATCCTTTTCACAGTCATGGCGAGGTCGACCCCATCCCAGCTTCTGTCCTCAGAGCCTGCAATACTTCCTGTGAGGACCGGATCTGTTCACCTGAACTCACATCGACTAGAACACAGCATCATCTTCAAACTCTGCTAGTTCAGAACCTCCAGGACAAGCCGTAACGACTGGGTCCTAATCTAAATGCAGCCAGCCAGTGGAGGGTTTACAGTTAGACTTAACTAAGATGATAAAGGGTCAGTGAATGCTAAATGAAACCAACAGATTTAAAAAAACAAAAAAATCTGAAAAGACCCAAGTACATACGGCAAATTTAAATGTGACAGATATGGCATTTCAAAAAGATCAACTGTTCCATAGGTAATGGTAGGAAAGTCAGCAGGTTATGTGAGAAAAAAAAGATAAGATTCCTATACTGCTCTCTATACATAAATTCTAGGTGAATCAAAGTTCCAAATGTTGGGCTTTCCTGGTGGCACAGTGGTTGAGAGTCTGCCTGCCGATGCAGGGGACACGAGTTTGTGCCCCGGTCCGGGAACATCCCACGTGCTGCGGAGCGGCTGGGCCTGTGAGCTGTGGCCGCTGAGCCTGCGTGTCTGGAGCCTGTGCTCCGCAACGGGAAAGGCCACAACAGTGAGAGGCCCGCATACCACCAAACAAAAAAAAAAGTTCCAAATGTTGTTTTCTTTTTTAAGATCAAAAGCACTAAAAGACAGGCCTTCCCCGGTGGCGCAGTGGTTAAGAATCCGCCTGCCAATGCAGGGGACACGGGTTCGAGCCCCGGTCCGGGAAGATCCCACAAGTTGTGGAGAAACTAAGCCCGTGTGCCACAACTACTGAGCCTGCTTGCCACAACTACTGAGGCCCACGTGCCTAGAGCCCGTGCTCCACAACAAGGGAAGCCACCACAATGAGAAGTCCGAGCACCGCAACGAAGAGTAGCCCCTGCTCATCACAACTAGAGAAAGTCCGTGCGCAGCAACAAAGACCTAATTCAGCCAAAAATTTAAAAAAATTTTTTTTAAATGGCAAAGGATATGAATACTTAGCTTATTTTAAAAAAATGCTCATCTTTAAAAAAAAAAAAAAGCACTAAAAGACAACATTTAAAAAAATGTTTAGGGAATTCCCTGACAGTCTAGTGGTTAGGGCTCCGTGCTTCCACTGCAGGGGGGCACGGGTTTGATCCCTGGTTGGGGAACTAAGATCCTGCGAGCTGTGGGGTGTGGCCAAAAAAAGAAAAAAGTTGAATCTTGAGGCGGGAAGCCCTTTCAAGGCAAACAAAACCCCAAAATTAATTAAGACCAGCTACTTTCACTTTATAAAGACTTCCTTATAGACAACAGATGTAGCTAACAGGAGTTCTGTATTTTGAACCATGTACAAAACATATACTCAAACAAAAGTAAACTTAAAAATGAAAAAAAAGGGGCTTCCCTGGTGGCGCAGTGGTTGGGAGTCCGCCT